TCATTCATTTAATTTCACATCCAGGGCAGAAATGGGTGAGTTATAGAGGGTGAAGGAGTTATTGAGTCCGAGTTCTAAACGTTTAGGACTGTGCCCAAGTCTTGAAAACACACTTCAATCAAGACTCACTCAACCATGGTCCAGAGAGCAAAGACGCAAGGTCTTTTATCTATCAAACTTATTTATGAACATATAGTTATTACGTTACATCTGCTCTTATAAAGTCGAATTTTGTTTTTTTATTATATTGATAATCTATATAAGAAGTATGTTCATTTAATAGAAAAGAAAAAAGATGGATGTGACATTTTACAAGCGACAGCTCTATTTCGCCATCAACATCATGGATGATGAAGTAGAGCACGTGATCACCTTGATGTTGTCCATTTATTGATTAAATCTAGTTTTTCATTCAACAACATTAGAGTAGAAGAAAATTTGAATGTTTTATTGAACATTCTTTTTTCAGCAATATTTTACCATAATACTGTAACAAAAGTAGTAAAAAAAACTGACAACGTTATATCGTAACGTTCACTAATGTGCGTACATTGTGCAATTTTTCTTTCTTTTCTTTCAATAACCCACATTAGACAATCTTTCATTGTATCGTTTTTGTAACTGGTGCAAAACAAAAATGAAATTTTCTACCATCGGCTCCTAAGTAATATAGAACTATAAATAGACCCAATATAAAAAAAAAAACAAGCTCATTTTTGCTCTTTTTTCTTCTCGAGAGAAAAATAAACTTGTTGTAGATACCGAATTACTGGAAAGAGAGAGAGAGAGAGAGAAAGAAATGGAGAAGGCAAGAAAAGATCAGCGTTTACATTAGTAAGGTCTATATATTTTTGTTCTTCCTAGCGCGTTATTGTGTATAAAGAAAAACCCTAATAAGTTTCGCGTCAAGTCATTTGTGTTGTTTCCTGATTTCTTCTCTTGTTCTTCTTGAGTATTGTATTCTCGTAGATATATTCTACAAGTACAAAATCGACTGTAGTGGTGGTAGTCTCGTCATATTTTATTTACCTGTATCCACCTGCTCTGACTCCGCTTATTATTATTCATACACACACAATTCAAATTCGAAAATGGGTGGTAAAGAAAGTAAAAAGTTAGATTCTGAATTAGATGAAGCTACCATTCAGCGTTTAACAAATAATACAAATTATACACCAGAACAAATTCAGCAATGGCATCAAGCATTTTTGAGAGATTGTCCATCAGGTAAATTGTCAGATCGACAATTCACCGAAGTTTATAAAAAATTTTATCCTGAACATGAGGCTGAGAAATATTCAAATCAAGTATTTCGGACATTCGATATTGATAATAACGGATATATCGATTTTGTCGAATTTTTATTAGCTGTTAATATTAATTCGAATGGTGATGTTCGTGAAAAACTTGGGTTAGCATTTGACATTTACGATATCAATTCAGATGAAAAAGTAAGAGGGATGAAACAAAATTTGTTTATTATGTAGCAGATTAAGTTAGACATGTTTATAAGTTATTCTTCTACAACACTATTGTTGAGAACTTAAAAAATGAAGATCAAGTTAGTTCTTATAACAGCGATGCATCGATCACAGTACAGCTATGTGCAGTGCAGTTGACACGTGAGACTACATTCACTCAAGAACCTTGTATATTATACGAAGAATAAAGGAAGGTCTTGAGTATGCAAAATAGGAGAAAACTGAATATGTATTATTTATATAATATATACTGTAGAAAAATTCATCATCATATTTATGATGATTGTCCATTGAATACAATGTCATCGCTCGTTGTTGTTAATGTAACACGAGCAGATGCGTGTGTGTATATAGCAACCACATAAGAATAGAAGAAAAACAAGAAGAAAATCAAAATAAAAGATAATTGTTCGATTGGAATGTGATTTATGATGTTTTTTCGATTGCGCGTTACTAATCTTTGTAATCATCAATTACACAATTATACCTGAGCCTATTGTATACACACAAAATAAAGAGAGAAAGAGAGAAAATAATTATTATCACACTATAGCAACATCTTTGTACTTAGAATGAATTAGACAATTTATTTAATATTCAAAAAACTATATCATCTGTTCATTACTTATCATCATATTCGAATTAATGATCAACTTGTTCTCTTTCAAATTTGTTGCTAGATAAAGAATAATATGGAGTTAATTTAAAGGAAATAAAAATAGAGTGTACATATTGATAGTTTAGAGTAAAATTATAGAGTTCATACAACTTTTATTCGATGTCACTATCAATAAAATGACTTAACTTCAAATCAAATTCGATAACAGCGAAAAAGCACCATCCTTTTTTTTTCATTTTTTTAGTGCCTAAGAGTTAATGAGAATTTCTAGCGTGTCTTCAGGATCTCGTTCAAAAATCCAGTATATCATTATGTAGAATAGTTAACTTGTTTGAAAGCTGTAATGTTCATTGGCAGTTATGTTTGACTTATGTCATTTTCTATTTCAAATGCTGATTCTACAGAAGATGTATTAGGATGTACAATTCTGATATGTATCGCAGAAAATGAACTATTGATCTTCTGCGATAAAAGTAAATCAAAACTATATTATTTAATTTTGTTCGGTATATATATCAGGGCTTTAGTCAAAAATGTTCTATTGATTAAGCTTGCTAACCGCAACTTTCTTTTTGTTCATGAGTTTTCTCCAAATGATTTATTACTCAAAGAGTAAATACGTACCTTTTCTGTACACCCCCCAGCTACAGTCAAATCTCTACAGCCAGTTTCATCAAAAAACTTAAGTTAAGATTTGACTTAAGTTTTTTGATGAAACTGCCCCCACCCCTGTCTTGTATTCCAAAGTTCGAATTTTCAATTGTCTCACTTTTTGTTTAGATTGATAAGAAAGAAATGACAAAAGTTATTACAGCAATATATGATTTATTAGGTACGTTCGTTTTTTCTACTTATAAAATAAAAATGTTCTATCATTAAACGTTTTTAGGTGAAGACAATCGTAAAGGGGAAAATAGTCCGGATAATCGTGTGAAAAAAATAATGGAAAAACTCGATATCAATGACGATAAAAAAATTACACGTGATGAATTTGTTGAGGGGTGTATGAAAGATGACGTTCTTAGACAATTGCTTGCACCAAATGTTTAAACTCGTTTAATTTGGTCAAATTTACGATCACTGTTAGGACTGAAAATTTTATTGTTTGTTTGTTTCTTGTGTAATTGTTCGTTTACTATCATCATGACAGGTTTTTTATATTGATAGGTAATATTCTTCTTCTTTAGCGTATAAGGATATAAGTAGCAGAAACATTCGTTTAGCTGTTATAATCTCTGCTGCTTAAATAGTTGCTATTTATCTTTTTCTGTTTTTTTTTAATGAATGTATTTTCCTGCTTTTAAAACTGCCATATTTTTCAGTCTGTCGTACCGTGTTTTATTATACTTTGTGTAGAGAAAGAAAACTTTTGCACTCATTTTTCTTTTTGTTCATTTTATTATACTCTATTATGAAATATATTTGTGCCATACGTGATGTTCACGTTTTAGAATTGCTGATAAGTATGTATGTAGAACTCTAAATGTTTAAGATTTAAGATGTTCTATATTGCACAATCAATGAATTCGAGCTGATGTGTTCTTCTCGAGATGCTAACATTTAAACAAGCATTGGCTCTTCAAAAACCCTCTCTAGACTACTAGACTAAGCCAAGGTGACTTCTTCATCAATACTGAAGTATCGAAGATATTCTCTGAGTCAAAAAACAAAACACTTTATCAGGGAACTTCATTACATATTATAAATGTGATGCATACATGATATGTGTAGAGGCTGGCTAGTGACGTGTAAACTTTCACTGTGAAATCTAAACCGTGAACGCAGCAGAGATGCTTCAATTAGAGAACGAGAATGCAGACGTTGAATACGAACCAAATCAAGCAGGATACTGTAGAGGAGTCTGCGGTGATAGAATCACCTATGAAACCGAAATAAATTCAGAATAGACCCAAAAATAGAATCGAATGCCCATGTTCCATAATTTATCTTCTAACCTGACAGATTCTTTCTTTCCAAGATACTTCAAGAATAAATTATTGTGTACTGAAATGTTAACGGTAATTAACTGAGTGAGAAAGAAATCATGTCAAATACAGAAAGACTTTCACAACAAGATTGATCAAATGGCACATTTTTATTCAAAAAGTCAAAACTTATAGATGCATGAAATAGAACAAAAAGTTAATCTTAAGATAAATGCTGGTTTTACCTTTTTTTCTATACTGCATGAACTTGAAAATTACAGTCAGGATGCGATACGACGTGATGTGAACGGATCGTTAACATTTCAGTATATTTCTAAACTTATTTTCCTTTTACTAGAAATACCGTTCACATTTCCGTAGCCATTAAGGGTGCCCCCCTCGTTTTTGTAAAAATTTCGGATTTTGAGCTGAGCATAGCCTAATGTAGAGAAAAGTGTGAACTACAAAGTAAGACCACTCCCAGTACTTCACGACCTTTTTTCAAAAAGTTATGGATTTTTGAAGTTTTTCCTTCAAAACCTAAAAAACCTCAATTTTTTAGTTTCATAAACTTTTCTCTCATTTTCTGTGCATACAAAATTTTTCTTACACATAGTCTGATAGAAGAAAGTGTTTTCTTCGCAATGAAACGTTTTACAGAATTTTCCGATAAGTTTTCGCGGAGATATAAGCATCGCGGCAAATGCTCTGGAAAAAGTGACCTATATACAAAATGCGTTTTTTCTCAAAAACTATTTTTTTGCTACCAGGCTTCATTGTGCCACATTACGACCTCCTTAAATTTCATCCGATCGAGTTCAAAATTTTACCAGAGGTACTCAAGACACTATTGCAGGGTTAATTTGAAAAACAGTGAAAATATTTTTTTGTTAACGGAAAAACAGGAACCGCTAACGTTTTGGTGTGAAACCGTTAACAACAAAATGTCCGTCCCATCGTCATTGCATTCTCCATTCATTTATTTCCTCTACGTACAATTTAATTATTGATTATCTTTATCTTTGACTTAAGATAGTAGTTCTACTTTTCGATTCCTATCTTTATTCTAAGCTAGTTTATCTAACAGAAATTCTATTCTATTATCTAAAACAAACATATATGAAAATTTTTATTTCTACATATCTGACGATTCTGATGTATTAAACAATGCAGACACAGTGGGCATTTTTTGCTAGAGCAGGCGGACTTTAGCTTTATAAGTGAACGAAAATTTCATGAACCATTTTTCTATAGGTTTTTCATGATCCTCTTTCTAATGGCATGAGAGCTGGGTTTTGAAAAAGTTTTCTAAGGAGTTTTCCAGAGATCCAGTCTCTGGAAAACCCTTCAGGAAATTTTCTCAATATTTAAAAACGATGCCACTGGAAAGAGCATTGTCGAAAACCTATAAGAAACATGTTTCGAGTCGTTCAGGTTACTTTATCTTGAAATTCAAATTTTCAGCACGAAATTGTTTGTTTTAGATAATAGAATAGAATTTCTGTTAGATAAACTAGCTTAGAATAAAGATAGGAATCGAAAAGTAGAACTACTATCTTAAGTCAAAGATAAAGATAATCAATAATTA